ATATTTTTTAGATTTTCTTAAGAGGTGGTTCAAAAAAATTAATGAAGTCAATTTATTTTATTGATTAAATTAAAGGCAACACTTATTATTAGTATTACACCCCAACCAACCCAATTTGGTAGACACAAAATTTGTTAAAGGAAAAACTCGGTTGAAACATAAGGGTAGCACGCTTATTTACATCTATTTTAACATTACAGATGTGCGTTTGTTTTGTTCGTTGACTAGGTTCCGCGAATGTGGAATAGACATGTTTATAATCAACCAATTGTGAATTTCACCGTCAAGAATTAAAATAAAACCCAATGTTTTATATAATAAGCGGAAGTCGAAGCAATAAAACCGATGGTCGTTTTGTTTACAGTTTCTCTGTTTGACTCTCACGTATGCTGTTACGCTTGCCATCTTAAATTAAGAATGTTTATAAATAAACGATTTTCAGTTGCCTTTCATATTACCAGACAGCGGATTTTTGTCGGGCTACGTCACGTTTAATCGGTACTAATTCCATAAATATAATTAACGATTTATTAATCAAACGGCTAAGTAAATGAGAACGGGAATTAACAGCAGAGTGCAACGAAACAGCGTTATTCTAATCTCAAATAAACGAAGCGCAGTCCGCAACGGCAATGAATTCGCATCCCGTGCGAGCCGTACCGAGTTTGGCCTTGCCTAGCCCGACAGAAATCCGCTCTCTAGATATTACACACCGGCGCCGTATACGTGAGTAAATTGTTTCGTTATTTTATTGATTATAAGAAATCAATATTCAAAACGACCCAATTCATTTTCCCGAAAATTTGGGAACACAATAATTTTATTCTTAGTATTACACTACATCTATCCCAACTGATATACGTGTCCTTGCAAAAATGTTGATGACGTCATCACATTTTTTTTTTAAATTCCCACTACAAAAATGTAATGAGAAAAAAAAAACATAATAGGCATGCAATCGTCAAGTTTCCGACAGCGAGGGAAGTACTGTCTAAACTCTTTAGACCAATTTTTTTAGATTTTCTTAAGAGGTGGCTCAAAAAAATTAATGAAGTCAATTTATTTTATTGATTAAATTAAAGGCAACACTTATTATTAGTATTACATTGGACCAACCCAATTCGGTAGACACAAATTTTTTTAAAGTAAAAACTCGGTTGAAACATAAGGGTAGCACGCTTATTTACATCGACTTTAACATTACAGACGTGCATTTGTTTTGTGCGTTGTCTAGGTTCCGCGAATGTGGAATAGGCATGTTTCTAATCAACCAATTGTGAATTCCACCGTCAAAAATTAAAATAAAACCCAATGTTTTATATAATAAGCGGAAGTCGAAGCAATAAAACCGATGGTCGTTTTGTTTACAGTTTCTCTGTTTGACTCTCACGTATGCTGTTACGCTTGTCATCTTAAATTAAGAATGTTTATACATAAACGATTTTCAGTTGCCTTTCATATTACCAGACAGCGGATGTTTGTCGGGCTACGTCACGTTTAATCGGTACTAATTCCATAAATATAATTAACGATTTATTAATCAAACGGCTAAGTAAATGAGAACGGGAATTAGCAGCAGAGTGCAACGAAACAGCTTTATTCTAATCTCAAATAAACGAAGTGCAGTCCGCAATCGCAATGAATTCGCATCCCGTACGAGCCGTACCGAGTTTGGCCTTGCCTAGCCCGACAGAAATCCGCTCTCTAGATATTACACACCGGCGCCGTATACCTGAGTAAATTGTTTCGTTATTTTATTGATTATAAGAAATCAAGATTCAAAACGACCCAATTCATTTTCCCGAAAATTTGGGAATACAATAATTTTATTCTTAGTATTACACTACATCTATCCCAACTGATATACGTGTCCTTGTAAAAATGTTGATGACGTCATCACAATTTTTTTTTAAATTCCCACTACAAAAATGTAATGAGAAAAAAAAACACAATAGGCATGCAGTCGTCAAGTTTCCGACAGCGAGGGAAGTACTGTCTAAACTCTTTAGACCAATTTTTTAATTTGTATATATTTCTTATTATATTAGAACATTATTTTTGTTGATTTATAAGAATTTTATATTTGTTTCTTTTATTTTTGTTACATTATTGATACTCATCTTATTTTTTATTATTTAACCACTGCATGAATATGTTTATTTTGTTTATACTTTTTATCAAAGAATTGATGATAATTTTGCTCAGTTGTTGGAGCAACATTTTTGGTAAGAGATGACTCTACACCTCCCCGTTGGTTCTTGCTGGACAGTGGTTATATCACTGGCGAAGTAGAGTATATTATAATAGAGCAAATGTAGTGCACTTACTAATCTACATGACTTACACATTTTTGGAATCTATGTGTATACATCTTTAGAATTGCATTGTATCTGCTGTAGATTTTGAAACAGTATAAATTTAAGACTGCTATTGGATTTTTTTTAATTGGTTAAAAAAATTAGCCTCCTCTACATAAAATCTCACGAGCCGGCACTGTTGTTATGATGTATTTGTTAATATACTGCATATTACAATTTCTGCTAATAAAAAAAATACTCCTATTTTTCTTAACTCTTGTCTTTTTTGCTTTATAGAGAAGTGTTCAGAAAAATAAATTTATAAAAAATTGCTCGAATATTATTTCGACAGGACTTTCCTCACCCGTAAAGCGCACTACCTACATCAAATCCATCTGTTGTAAAAAATTAAAAGATTTGTTCTTGCGAATTTTATTTTTTTAAGACAACCATTATAAATAAGTTAAAATAAAGATATCTATGTTTGCTTGCATTAACAAGAAGCATAAGTGCATTAATTATTTATATGGTTGCATAAAACAAAGCGTATTTACTTAACAAACAATTTGAACTTATTATACAATTGTCATAAAACTGCCACAGATAAGCTAGTGTCGCATCTGTTTGATGTGCTGTAGCCCGATCCTGCTGAAAGTATTCAAATTTATGTTCTTCGTCAACAAGTTGGTTAATAAAAGGTTTTAGAATTTCTTCCCAATATACTCGTCAACCGTAAATAAACTTTATTATAACTAAACACTGTCAACCAATGGTCTCCTTTTCGCAAAATAAGTCGATTTTGCATATCGCAAGTACGGTATGCTGATCAGAATGTTCCATGCACCGGCTTTTAAGAGATCAGATTCTGTAGTTTTGCGACGTCACATGGCTAGCTAGATTGAACTGAAAAATGTAAGATCCAATAAACAGTAATCACATTTTATTTATGAACAAACATCTGCACAGGAGCGAGATGACGATGAATCAATTGAAGCACACACCACTTTGTGGAAGTTTTGGGTTTTTTAAATAATTTAATTATTGTAATTTCATCAGTTTTTTAAAAATATTTATGTTACTTTTCATATCCCACCTTGTATTATCCTGAAGATGACTTAGATTTTCAATAAAGTCGAAATATGTTGTTGTAATCAACCAGCTTTCTACTGAAAATCTTCACACGTTCAAGAGACGGAAAAACAACTCCAAATAAAGTAAGGGAACTAGGGGCTTGTTGTAACAGGGGTAAGTTCTAACACTAAATTTTTACCCGGAATTTAAACTTTTTAACGTCAGGTTTTTTACTGAATGTAATTCTTGCACCATAAGACATCATGTCATCATAACCACTGTTCCTCCAGCCAGCGCAGTGAGTGGATGTGTGCACGTGTTCGTTTTGTCCAAGTAATGTAAAATATTGCTTTAGTAAAATTTGGTTTTTCGTATCTGTTATTAATTAATTTTAAACTTTTAGTTTTGCATAAAGTTCAAAAATTACTCAGCTTTGATATTCCTTACACATTTTGACGCTAAACAACATAATTTTGTCGAAATGTAATTAAATGTAGACAATTGTGCTACGGGGCATGTTGTAACAATATCTAGGGGGCAAGTTGTAACATGTTACAACTTATTCCAAATTCACTTCTACAAATCTCGTACCTAGCATACGAAAAGCGAGTGAAAATTTTGACCTTGCCATATATCGCTTTCCAGATATATTAAGACAAAGGAAAACAAAATTCAAATCTTTAATGTTGACTCTTTTTCTAAAAGTTTATTTCAGTTTTACTGATAACTGTTATATATAATGAAGTGTTGTGTTGATTTTTGAAAAATAAAGAGTAAATATGTATCAACAGCAGCTTTATTTTTACTGTTACTACCTGCCTCATGGCTTTTACAACTAGCCCCAAACACGGGGCAAGTTGTAACAGTGCACTTTTTTTAAGAAAATGCCTGGTATGAAGTGAATAAGAACAATTTTGACTTTTTGCCTGTTCAGTCCAGTAGGGGAATAGTTAGACTACCGACAGATACTTTTATAATGGTCAGACAGCTAATAGATATCAAATTATATTCGTTTTCCTAAAAACTGTTACAACAAGCCCCTCTTTCCCGTACACTTGAACAAGAATGAATCTCCAAAAATTAACAGATTGGTGGTTTGTATTGCAAATCCTTTCCTTAAAGTGTGGCGAAATTTGTTTAAACCATGCCACGCCAACATAAATTAGTGATACACCCTCTTCAGATTTGCAGATTGTTTTCATTTTACTAAAACAGTTTTTTAAGTGCTAAAGGAACAATCCTTTAATATTAAAATGTATCAATAGTGCGTCTCATCAGAACCTGAGTGAAATGATCAAGAGTTGTCAAAGAAACAACATCTTCTTCTTATCTACTTTCCTTGTTTTCGATTTCACTTTAAACTATACTTTTGTCTGTGAATTTTTTGTTATTCGAGTTGTCTCGGGGACTGGCCTGGTACTCCTTAATGTAACAATTTGTTTTCTCTCAAAAGTTAGGCGAGATTGGGGCGGATTTTATGAAAGCACTTCTATACACTTCCATAAGTCTGTTTATTTTTGGTACTTTTATGATTATATATATATATATATATATATATATATATATATATATATGATGATATTTATTATCAGTTTTTACGATCTCTAGTGTATTTAACAAGATTACGATTAAATGATATGTTATTATTATCAGTAACCGATTTTATTTCGACTACGTTTGTGTTTAATTTCAGACTCTCAAAACCGTAAAAGGTGGCCAAGAAGTACGATTTTTGTCCGCTGTAAGTGCAGCAATTTCTGTTCCTATATTTCTCCGATTCTATAGCTTTATGTCCAGTGGCGTAGCTATCTTCCACTGCGCCCCCCCGCAGTTTATAGTAAGCGCCCCCATACGTCAAATTTAAAAAGTAATATAAATATGTGCTTACTCGTTTGCATATTTTAAAAAAATATATCGGTTACGTTACGGTCTGCGCCCCTGTTGGCGCTGCGCCCCTCCGCATTGCGGGGTCTGCGGGGGTGCTATTTACGCCACTGTATTATGTCACAAACGTCTGTTGGTAACTGTCGATTTTAAAAATAATGGGTACATGGTAAAACGCAAGCCACAATTTGTCTGTTCATCCCCACCAACAATTTGGCGATGTCACCTCAAAATTTGCGTAGTAAATGCTATTTCAATTTTATAAAATATTATAGTCTTACAGTTGTGGTTTACGAAACCACCTTGACTTTGTTTATTTTGTTAAGATTTTGGTGTTTAATTCTTTTAAGAGTAAAGTTGTTCTTTAGATATACCGGATGTCTGAAAAATGGTGGAATAACTCTCCGCTACGCTCTTAACCAGGGATGTTGCGAATATTCGCATCCGCATCCGCAATAATCAATACGGAACTAATGCGGATGCGGATGTAAATGTGGTGCAAGTCGCGACAAGAAAGAAATTAGTTGGAGCCGACGAGTGACGCATAGCGTGCACTTGTGATGCATTGACCAATAGGAAGACACGAATTCTACTTTCGGTGTTCCATTTCGCACATCAGAACGTGTTTAGTCGGGGTTGCGCGAATTGTGAACGTTTTGTTTTTGTACGTTATTGGACAAGTGAATCTATAATGGCACCACCAATGCAAAGTGAGATTTGGACTTATTTTAAACCAGATGATGATCGAAATAAAGCTCAGTGTATAATATGTAATAAAACATACTCTCGCAAGGGTCGTACCACTTCGTCTGAATCATCTGAAATCCATGCACCCAGAACAGTTTAGTTTGTTCGAAAGTTCGAATAACGAAAAACAAATGCAGAAGATGTTTACATGTTTGATCCACTTAAATGGTGGAGCGTTAATCCACCGAATTAAAAATTTTATCTGGAATAGCACGCAGATTTTTATCGCCTCCACCAGCTAGTGTTCCCAGTGAACAGTTATTTAGTAGTGCAGGATTAATTTATGAACCTCTGAGAAATAGACTCGAACCTGAAAAGGCCGCAATATTACTTTTTATTAAATATAATTCAACAATTTTTAAATTTTCGTACAAAAAATTTGTTTATTAAATAAAAATATTAAAAAACCCCCATTTTTTTAACTGATTTCCGTACATATACTAAGTTTCTTAAAAAAAAACTTGAGATCCGCATCCGCATCCGCATCCACGGATATGAGCCATCAAAAATCCGCATCCGCATCCGCATCCGCGGATGTTGAAAAATCTGCATCCGCAACATCCCTGCTCTTAACAATCAACTGGTGAGTTTGGGAAAAGTAGTAAAAAAATCTTTCTCACATTTTGGTGGAGTTACAATGATTTTAAAATTGGTTCTTTTGCTGCATTTAACAACTAAACAACTCATTCATTATCACAATAACTAGTAATAAAACTTTTAGTTAATATTTTTCTCGTCCATGACCATGTTTAATTACCATTTCAGTTAGAATGCACAAATATATGGTTGTTTTGTTTTGTAATAATTTGATAAAATTCCATTTGATAACAATGATATTTTATTAATTTTGATATAAAGCAAAGGTGGATTTCAGTCACCATCGTTACTAAGAAATCAGAAAGTAAGCTGGAGGTATTCACAGATTAAATATGGTTGAAAGTGCTAGTGATTCGTGGGACTCTTTGTCTGAGCTGCGTTCATATGTACACTGGACGTAAACATATTGTGCGTTTATGGCTTTGACGTTTAAAGTACTTTACAGCGGACCCTTCATAAAACTTAGCAAATGCCAACCATGGCACGTGTCGGGAACCACCGAGACAGTACTATCCTGTGCTTTTACCAGAAAAGCTCTTTTCATGAAGGTCATAGGTAAGACATCCGGTTGTGACGGCCTATTGAATTTTAATGGTATTTAAATTGGTGTGCAGCCATAAACGCACAAAATGTTTACGTCCACTGTCCTATCACGGCCAAAAAAATGGAAACACCTAACCTGTTCATGTCATCGACTTTTATTACTTCCCGAGCATAAGCAAAGGAAGTATTGTAATCGAGTCCGTCGGCCGACTCTCTACTTTTACGTTTTCTCGATCTTTCATGACCCCTAGAATACGGAGAAATAGGTCTCCCATTTCCGTCTGTCTATCCGTCTGTCCGTCCGTCTGTCCGTCTGTCCGTCTGTCCGTCTGTCCGTCTGTCCGTCTGTCCGTCTGTCCGTCTGTCCGTCTGTCCGTCTGTCTGCCGTCCCGGATTTTTATTAGACAGAAGTACTGGACCGATTGTTGTGAAATTTTGTACTTATATTAGGAATATGTAGATGGTAAAACGCTAACCAAAATTTGTCTAATCACGTCACTTCCAAATTGTACATAGTAAATGGGTCTTAAATTGTATAAAATAACATAGTCCTACACATGTAGTTTACGACTCCAAATTCAGTTTTTACCCGAAACGTCCAAATTTTTGGAAAAAAAATCAAAATTATAAAACAACATTTTGTAATTTAATTTTGAATCTGCTAACCCGAATGTTTTGAAATGTTGCAGATGTTTTAAGGCTCTAAAGTGCATAATAAATCTTTAGTCAAAATATATTTGGTTATCCCCTCCAAAAACTTGATGACGTCAGCTCAAAAGTTTGCCGAATAAATCCTATCTAAAATGTACAAAATATGATGCGTCTGTACTTGTGATTTATCATTCCATTCAAATTTTTTCGATTTGCATATACAGGGTGACTCAAAAAAATTAATGAATGCTTCAATTTATTTTATTGATTTAATCAGGAATTACAGAACCGAATGTTTTGAAATCGTGGAGATGTTTTAAAGTTATCATAAGCATGGTAATTTTTTTATCAAAATGTATTTGCTCTTCCCCCCTAAAAAATTGATGACGTCACTCCAAAATTTTGCTGAATAAATCCTATCTAAAATGTACAAAATATGATGAGTCTGTACTTGTGATTTATCATTCCAATCATATTTTTTGGATTTGCATATACAGGGTGACTCAAAAAAATTAATGAATGCGTAAATTTATTTTACTGATTTACTCAGAAACTACAAAACCGAAGGCTTTGGAATCTTGCAGATGTTTTAAGGTTATAAAGAGCATAATAAATGTTTAGTCAAAATATATTTGCTTATCCCCTCCAAAAAATTGATGACGTCAGCTCGAAAGTTTGCCGAATAAATCCTATCTAAACTGTAAAAATATGATGAGTCTGTACTTGTAATTTATCACTCCTTTCATATTTTTTGGATTTGCATATACAGGGTGACTCAAAAAAATTAATGAATGCGTAAATATATTTTATTGATTTAATTAGGAACTACAAAACCGAATGCTCTGAAATCTTGCAGATGTTTTAAGGTCATAAAGAGCATAATAAATGTTTAGTCAAAATATATTTGCTTATCCCCTCCAAAAACTTGATGACGTCGCCTCGAAAGTTTGCCGAATAAATCATATCTAAAATGTACAAAATATGATGAGTCTGTACTTGTCATTTATCACTCCATTCATATTTTTTGGATTTGCAAATACAGAGTGACTCAAAAAATTAATGAATGCGTAAATATATTTTATTGATTTAATCAGGAACTACAAAACGGAATGCTCTGACATCTTGCAGGTGTTTTAAGGTTATAAAGAGCATAATAAATGTTTAGTCAAAATATATTTGCTTATCCTCTCCAAAAACTTGATGACGTCAGCTCGAAAATTTGCCGAATAAATCATATCTAAAATGTACAAAATATGATCAGTCTGTACTTGTGATCTATCACTCCATTCATATTTTTTGGATTTGCATATACAGGTTGATTCAAGAAAATAAATGAGAGCGTAAATTTATTTTACTGATTTACTCAGGAACTACAAAACCGAATGCTTCGAAATCTTGAAGATATTTTAAAATTATCATAAGCATGGTAAATTTTTGATCAAAATGTATTTGGTCGTCCCCCCTAAAAAATCTATGACGTCACCACAAAATTTTGCTGAATAAATCCTATCTAAAATGTACAAAATATGGTGAGTCTCTTCTTGTGATTTATCATTCCATTCAAATTTTTTCGATTTGCATATACAGGGTGACTCAAAAAAATTAATGAATGCGTAAATTTATTTTGCTGATTTAATCAGGAACTACAAAACCGAATGCTTTGAAATCTTGCAGATGTTTTAAGGTTATAGAGAGCATAATAAATTTTTAGTCAAAATATATTTGGTTATCTTCTACAAAAAACTGATGACGTCAGCTCAAAAGTTTGCCGAATAAATCGTATCTAAAATGTACAAAATATGATGAGTCTGTACTTGTGATTTATCATTCCATTCATATTTTTGGATTTGCATATGCAGGGTGACTCAAAAAAATTAATGAAAGCGTGAATTTATTTTATCGATTTAATCAGGAATTACAAAACCGAATGCTTTGAAATCTTGGGAATATTTTAAAGTTATTATAAGCATGGTAAACTTTTGTTCAAAAGTATTTGTTCATCCCTTCTAAAAAAATTGATGACGTCACCCTTAAATTTTGCTGAATAAATCCTATCTAAAATGCAAAAAATATGATGAGTTTGTACTTGTGATTTATCATTCCATTCATATTTTTTAGATTTTCTTAAGAGGTGGTTCAAAAAAATTAATGAAGTCAATTTATTTTATTGATTAAATTAAAGGCAACACTTATTATTAGTATTACACCCCAACCAACCCAATTTGGTAGACACAAAATTTGTTAAAGGAAAAGGTCGGTTGAAACATAAGGGTAGCACGCTTATTTACATCGACTTTAACATTACAGACCAGCAGCTGCATTTGTTTTATGCGCTCACTTGGTTCCGCGAATGTGAAATAGACATGTTTATAATCAACCAATTGTGAATTTCACCGTCAAGAATTAAAATAAAACCCAATGTTTTATATAATAAGCGGAAGTCGAAGCAATAAAACCGATGGTCGTTTTGTTTACAGTTTCTCTGTTTGACTCTCATGTATGCTGTTACGCTTGTCATCTTAAATTAAGAATGTTTATACATAAACGATTTTCAGTTGCCTTTCATATTACTAGACAGCGGATTTTTGTCGGGCTACGTCACGTTTAATCGGTACTAATTCCATAAATATAATTAACGATTTATTAATCAAACGGCTAAGTAAATGAGAACGGGAATTAACAGCAGAGTGCAACGAAACAGCGTTATCCTAATCTCAAATAAACGAAGTGCAGTCCGCAACCGCAATGAATTCGCATCCCGTACGAGCCGTACCGAGTTTGGCCTTGCCTAGCCCGACAGAAATCCGCTCTCTAGATATTACACACCGACGCCGTATACGTGAGTAAATTGTTTCGTTATTTTATTGATTATAAGAAAACAATATTCAAGACGACCCAATTCATTTTCCCGAAAATTTGGGAATACAATAATTTTATTCTTAGCAGTGGCGGCTCGTGAAGTTTTCTTCAGAGGAGGCTCAAATTTGAAAAGCAGTACTTTTTATATCTTTCATTATCTGAATAATTTTTTTTTGTCATGCCCACGAAAAGAACACTCCTGGGTTGATAGATAAACTATTGCATCGATTAGTCTTTTCAAAATTGCCCTATTTTTACCAACTTTCTCGTTATAGTGCTCAATATCCCTCTTATGAGCGGAATCTAAAGTATAGTAGAAGAAAATATCTGTTCCTGTGATTTTTCATGCCTTTCTATTGCTCATGACAAATTTTGTAAATTTTTATAGCCTGTTTTATCCCAAATGGAAAATTTATCACTTGTTAATAATACACAATTCCAACAGTATAATTTGTTTCTTGAAAAACCGAAGCCGGTAACCAGTTAGTTTTATTATAATTATTTTCATGAAATGCTCTCTTTTGCTTTTTACCTGTCATTAATTACCATTAATGGGAGTGGTGGTGTTGGTCTCTCCTTTTGTTTTATAGCGATGTTTTTATCACAATCAAAGCTACTAAATTCATTTTTTAATAGATATATAATTTACGTATCTGCACATGAGACTGAATTATTTTCGTTGCTCATTCTCGTTAAGTATAAGTAATATTAATATGCCGATAATACCAGCTGTTTTTAACGATCAGAAATAAAACGCAAATAAATGGTACAAAAAACACCTCAAACGTTACGTAGGTACTAAAGCCTAAACACCACTCACCACTGAATAGGAAGCACGCGAAACCACCTCAGTGTTTTTCCAATTTACACCCGATCGCTCCAATTAATAAGAAAGAGATAAAATTATCCGTGCGACTTGATCTGAAAAGAGATGAACTAGCCGGAGGCTAGCGGCCTGAAGCGGCACCCTGATCAACGCTTTAGCCAATGCAGTACCGAATGACGATGCGCCAAGGTCGCGGTCTCAATAGTAAGATGCATTCTCGGCGGAGGCTAGCCTTTATCGCTGAAGCCAAACGCGGAGTGGTGTGAATTATGATTGTAAGGGCGCAAATATAATTTTTTTCGACATTTTAACCTGATATCTGATGAAAGTAAATTAAATCAAACAAAATATTCTGAAAATTAACAAATGTCTACAAACATACAAATTCTTTCATCGAAAAAATTAGAGGAAGCTCAGCCCCAAAAATCAGAGGAGGCTCAGCCTCCCCTGCCTCCTCTGAGGAGCCGCCACTGATTCTTAGTATTACACTACATCTATCCCAACTGATATACGTGTCCTTGCAAAAATGTTGATGACGTCATCACAATTTTTTTTTTAAATTCCCACTACAAAAATGTAATGAGAAAAAAAAACACAATAGGCATGCAGTCGTCAAGTTTCCGACAGCGAGGGAAGTACTGTCTAAACTCTTTAGACCAATTTTTTCATTTTGATTAATTTGCATTATTGGAAATTGTCCATTAAGTGGAATATTTGTTCTGTTGGACAATAAATTATATTATTATTATTAATATTATTATTATTAAATGTGTGCAGCGCTGCCAATTTTACTTTTATAAAATTACGTTTTTTTCGTAATCTACATCATAAAGAATTTTTTAATTATTTTTTTGGGACTCCCGAAACCCTCTTGTGTAAGTACTGAAGAGTTAATCCGCCCTTTTCCAGACACCCGGTGTAATACGAAGTCCTTGGTTTCGATCCTCGGCACATGATAATGTGTTAATAAAATTTTACTTGAAACATATCACATAGTTTACTAATATTAACATCCGTTATTTTAACATATTAGGATTAAAAAAAAATATTTAGACCCGATTTATAGAAAGCGAAGTTAAAGTTAATTCGCGATTAACTTTTAATTGAGGTCCGTTGCGAGGCAACGCGCATGTTTGGACCAATCACGGGCTCATATTCCACATTTTAATTCTCTGTTAAACTAATCGAGGATTAAATATTTAACTCGCTGTTCTATAAACCGGCCCTTAGACCCGATTTATAGAAAGCGAAGTTAAAGTTAATTCGCGATTAACTTTTAACTGAGGTCCGTTGCGAGGCAACGCGCATATTTCAACCAATCACGGGCTCATATTCCACATTTTAATTCTCTGTTAAACTAATCGAGAATTAAATATTTAACTCGCTGTTTTGTAAACCGGCCCTTACACTATTAATTTTTATAACTCATCTAAGAAACAGGATTTTTTAGTAGTCTTTTAAATGCGTATTATTTTCAGTAATACATTTCTGTTAAATACGATCCTATTGGTTTCATTAAATATTTACTTGCGTACATAGCCAATGATAAATATAAAACTAAATACACAATAGTGATAAAATGGTTTTCAAGGTAAGCTACTTGTTGATGAAATAACTATATGTGATTAATACAGTACCGCTTTAAAGTTAGTTCTGTTCCTTGTAATTTTGGAACGGCTGGGGGTACAGGTTTTTTCATTACATGTCCATGTTTATACGTGGACTTAATTATTGTTAAGATTTTGAATTAAACGTCATATTAGGACACGCACTGGGCTAATACTACGAAATTTATTTACATCATCAGGTCACCAGCGAAAATAAAAGATGATCTTCCTAATTTTGGTCCTAGTAATTCTTGCGGGTACAAACAGTCAAGAAATAATTACATTACAGAACAAGACCGATTTTGTATGCTTAGTGGAGGACAAAGATTTGGTGATCTACACGAAGCCACCTGTAGCTGAAGTTCCTGAAAATACAGAAGTTCTCCTTGAAAAGGACTTCTTCTATAACTGGACATTAAAACAGTCTGAACATGTAGCACATGGACCAGTTATCGACAAAAGATGGGAAGGTATTTTAATCATTTTCATGAAATACTTTATTTTAATGTGTTTGTTCTATGTTATGTAATATCGACTCGATCGATTATTATCGAATACCTACTTATTTGGAGTGTTTTTATGTCGCTTCAGTTGATTAAAAAAATCACATGTTTACTATTTAGGTATGGTAGGACCAGCCCATATGCGAAAATTTATTTATTTAATTTAACTAATAAAAATTTATAAGACTATTCACGAAGTTCATTACCTCTGAAACTGTGCTTCTGTACTGCATTTAGGTAATTAATGGTTTCTGTATATTCCAGGTTTCAAAACGATATATAGGGATCAGTATAACTTTTCTAAAGTCGTCTCAGCGTCGTTTTCGATTTATTTTTCGAATATTCCTTGCAGGATAATGTTCATTACGAGTGAAAATGACTCTAATAATACCAAGCCAATAAATGTCACTTCTGCATCTTGGACCCACTACACCCTGCATTATACAAATAAAACTTTAACAGTTTATGAAAATGGTAGCAGTTGCCACGACGTAAGTTTGAATTCGAATTCCTTTGACTTTGTCGTCAAAACAACATATCGAACAGCATGGAAAATCCACAGCTGTAAGTAAATTATTTAAAAGACCGAAGTTATCTGCCTCTTCAACAATACTCATACTTATAATCTTTTTTTACTTACTTCCATTTAGAGTATTCACAATTGTTCACGGTATAGTTTATTTTCTTTGTAAACGATAGCTTTAAAAGTTATTTAAATATTTCATCAAGTTGGGAATGTAATTATAAATCATAAAATGGAAAAACGTAAGAAATATTTCTGCAACAAATTGTATAAAAACTTAATAGAAAAATATATTTGTGTTTCTCAATATGTTATTAAAAATTATTTCAATTACTTTGGGTACACCAAATAAAATAAGAGCAATAAACTCAGATCTTAATCTTCATATTGGAGGTACCACTATTTCTTCTGCCCGAGTAGTTAAAAATCTTGGGTTACATATTGATAATCAGCTACAATTTACTGACCATATAAATAAGATCTGCCAAACTACATTTAATGGATTCAAATTGATTTCCCCTTATAAGAACCTTTTAGACATTCGCTCCAAACGCCTGTTGACTGATGCCTTGATACTATTACATTTAAACTATGCTGGCATAGTATATGGTCCCTGTCTATCTTGTGCGGACAAATTTCGTTTGCAAAAGATTCAAAACTTTTGTGTGAGATATATTTATTCTATTCCACGTGAGACCCACATTACACCTTTTGTACGGAATTTAGGCTGGATGAAAATGCATGAAAGACGTTTTCATCACTTTATCAAACTCATAATAAAGATCCGACTTCATAACGAGCCTCACTATCTGCAAAATAAAATTTCAATTCGTAGTTCTGTACATGACAGAAACCTGCGACAAATGGATCTGACTGTTGACATACCTTCTCATTCTTTGAGTTCATATAAATCGTCATTTTCATATTTAGCTGCATATGTCATAAATAACGTTTTACGTCATTATTCCAACTTAAATAACCATTACATCATCAAATCTGTAAAGGATCTCTTATTCGCTGAGCAAGCAGAAATAAAATTAAAATTAAATTTAAATCTTTTTTAAATTCTGTACCTTTAATACTATCTATAAAAAAATTATGTTCCTCTTTCATATTTTACAACTTGTATTTCATATCTCATTTCCATTTCTTTTCAACATAGGGACAGATTGTAAATCAGTAATACTGAATCTGTTTTTTTTCCCTTTTGAGTATAATGCATTATTTATTTATTTTTGTTTGCTTGTATTTTTTTTATTTATGGTACTCAATACATTTATTACTATTATTATTATTATTATTAATTATATTATTTCTTATTTGTATTTAACGCATTTTACCAATATAATTTTTAGATAGAATTAGAGTCGCAAATGAAAGTTCTCCAACAGAAACAGTCGTGTCAACTGGTTCAACTGGTGTTTCTTGTTTGATCTTTTATATTTATCTTTGCCCGAAGTGTCTTCTGAAAATCTACACATCTGGAGGAATGAACCGCACAGTGGAAAATACACCTGATTCCATGATGGAGAATGAACTGTTCAAAAGTCAAAAAGTTTTAGTGAAAGTTAACACTACTCTCACGTTAGTTAGAGAAACACGTTCTGGAGCCGGAAAACCTTATTGGGCAATAGATATACGAGAGTGTCCCAGCAAAAATCTCGATACATGTAAGTAAACTGTAGTGTAGTGTAGGTACGTCGTTTTGTCACACAGAATATTTTTTTGAAGCAATAATATGTGGAAGACTGAGATGTTACTAAATTAAATTGTCTCTCAACAACTAAAACTTCTTCGGAGTAATTTAAGATTATTAATTTAATATTACTTATAAAAAAATTGGTCGAAAATTGTTTCGACAGAACTTCCCTCGTTCCTGAAGTGCATATCGCTCATTTTCGACTTGCGTTTTTTCTTTATACAATTTTGTGATGACGTTATCAACGTCTTTGCAAGGACACGTTTATCAACTTGGATTGGTGCAGTGTAATATTAAAAAAAAAAAACACTATTGTATTCCCAAAATTTTCTGGGAAATTGGAGTGAGCCGTTCCTGATTTAATAAATAAAATAAATTGATTTATTTATTAATTTTTTTGAGCCACCTGTTGAATGCAATAATAAATTACAAGTGAAAACTCATCATACTTTGCACATTTTGGGTAGAATTTATTCGGCAAAATTTTAAGATAACGTCATCAATTTTTTGGGGGAAATAAACAAATTTATTTTGATAACTTTAAAAGTCTGCAAGATTTCAAAGTATTCGATTTGATTTATTCAATAAAATAAATTGACTGATTCATTAAATTTTTTGAGTACCGTGTATAGGTAAATCTAAAAAATATGAATGAAATAATAAATTACAAGTACAGACTTTGCACATTTTAGATAGGATTTATTTGCCAAAATTTTGAGATGACCTCATACATTTTTTAGGGGGAATGAGCAAATACATTCTGATCAAAAATTTACCATGCTTATGACAACTTTAAAATATCTCCAGTGTTTCCAAGCATTCGGTTTCGCAGTTCCTGATTAAGAGAAGGTTTTACCCACACGGAAAGTAGCCCGCGCAATGGGTTATGATTTTTCCAATCATTGATTTATTAATGGTTAAAAATAGTTGAAAATGTAACTGAGTGTTATCAAAGGATGTGGCATTTTGCCACCGTTCGAATTTTTTTAATCTGATAAATAACTGTTGCAATAAAAATTAACAAAATCACATAAAATTGGCTTAAAAGAAGGGTTTGTAACTCGGCAATTAAATGACGCCTTCGAAAAATTCAAATGGGGGCAGCAAGACCAATGTTTCGTAACTGTGTATATAAAATTGCGACGTTGTAAATTACAAAATGTTGCTATAAAACGAAAAAACAGAACGCATGTTTTCGGACAAAATGCAAGCCGATTTCTTGTCGCCCTCACTCGGGTCAGGTGAGGAAAGACGCTAAGCGGGGGCTCACATCTACTCCCACTCTAAAACGCAAAGTACAGACACGACGAGATCGAATTTTGAAATACTTTTGTCATATTATAATCGGTGGAGTGTTACAAGTCGACGACGAACTAAGTTGAATCTTTCTGTGTACGCTGTGACTAAGATTCACTTCTCCCCTCGAAAATGTTTACGTCCCTCAGAATTCACTGATTTCACAGATCGAGAAACGAATGAATGGCTTGAGTAAAACCTGCTCAATAAAATAAATTTACTCATTCATTAATTTTTTTCAGTCACCTTGTATAAGCAAATCCAGAAAATATGAATGGAATGATAAATCACAAGTACAGACTCATCATATTTTGCACATTTTAGATAAGATTTATTCGACATAATTTTGACCTCACGTTATCAATTTTTTGGAGGGGATAAGCGAATATATTTTGTGTAATAATAACTTTAAAACATCTGTCAGATTTTAAAGCATTCGGTTTTCCAGATTCAAGTTTTATAATTTTGTTTTTTACTTCCCGAGCGTAAGCAAAGGAAGTATTGTAATCGAGTCCGTCGGCCGACTCTCTACTTTTACGTTTTCTCGATCTTTCATGACCCCTAGAAGACGAAGAAATAGGTCTCCCATTTCCGTCTGTCTGTCCGTCTGTCCGTCCGTCTGTCCGTCCGTCCGTCTGTCCGTCCGTCTGTCCGTCTGTCCGTCTGCCCCCGGATTTTTATTAGACAGATAATCTCCGAAAGTACTCGACCGATTGTTGTGAAATTTTGTACTTATATTAAGAATATCATGTAGATGGTAAAACGCTAACCAAAATTTGTCTAATCATCCCCACCACTAATGCGATGACGTCACTTCAAAATTGTACATAGTAAATGGGTTTTCAATTGTATAAAATAACATAGTCCTACACATGTAGTTTACAACTCCGAATCGACTTTTCACCCGAAACGTCCAGATTTTTGGAAAAAAAATCAAAATTATAAAACAACATTTTGAAATTAAATTTTTAATCTGCTAACCAGAATGCTTTGAAATGTTGCAGATGTTTTAAGGCTATAAAGAGCATCATAAATCTTTAGTCAAAAAATATTTGCTTACCCCCTCCAAAAACTTGATGACGTCAGCTCAAAAGTTTGTGGAATAAATCATATCTAAAATGTACAAAATATGATGAGTCTGGACTTGTGATCTATCACTCCATTCATATTTTTTGGATTTGCATATACAGGGTGACTCAAAAAAATTAATGAATGCGTAAATATATTTTATTGATTTAATCAGGAACTACAAAACCGAATGCTCTGAAATCTTGCAGATGTTTTAAGGTCATAAAGAGCATAATAAATGTTTAGTCAAAATATATTTGCTTATCCCCTCCAAAAACTTGATGACGTCAGCTCGAAAGTTTGCCGAATAAATCATATCTAAAATGTACAAAATATGATGAGCCTGTACTTGTCATTTATCACTCCATTCATATTTTTTGGATTTGCATATACAGGGTGATTCAAGAAAATAAATGAAAGCGTAAATTTATTTTACTGATTTACTCAGGAACTACAAAATCGAATGCTTCGAAATCTTGAAGATATTTTAAAATTATCATAAGCATGGTAAATTTTTGATCAAAATGTATTTGGTCGTCCCCCCTAAAAAATTTATGACGTCACCACAAAATTTTGCTGAATAAATCCTATCTAAAATGTACAAAATATGGTGAGTCTCTTCTTGTGATTTATCATTCCATTCAAATTTTTTCGATTTGCATATACACGGTGACTCAAAAAAATTAATGAATGCGTAAATTTATTTTATTGATTTAATCAGGAACTACAAAACCGAATGCTTTGAAATCTTGCAGATGTTTTAAGGTTATAAAGAGCATAATAAATTTTTAGTCAAAATATATTTGCTTATCTTCTACAAAAAGCTGATGACGTCAGCTCAAAAGTTTGCCGAATAAATCGTATCTAAAATGTACAGAATATGATGAGTTTGTACTTGTGATTTATCATTCCATTCATATTTTTGGATTTGCATATGCAGGGTGACTCAAAAAAATTAATGAAGGCGTGAATTTATTTTATCGATTTAATCAGGAATTACAAAACCGAATGCTTTGAAATCTTGGGAATATTTTAATGTTATTATAAGCATGGTAAACTTTTGTTCAAAATGTATTTGTTCATCCCTCCTAAAAAAATTGATGACGTCACCCTTAAATTTTGCTGAATAAATCCTATCTAAAATGCAAAAAATATGATGAGTTTGTACTTGTGATTTATCATTCCATTCATATTTTTTAGATTTTCTTAAGAGGTGGTTCAAAAAAATTAATGAAGTCAATTTATTTTATTGATTAAATTAAAGGCAACACTTATTATTAGTATTACACCTCAACCAACCCAATTTGGTAGACACAAAATTTGTTAAAGGAAAAACTCGGTTGAAACATAAGGGTAGCATCGCTTATTTACATCGACTTTAACATTACAGACCTGCATTTGTTTTATGCGATCACTTGGTTCCGCGAATATGAAATAGACATGTTTATAATCAACCAATTGTGAATTTCACCGTCAAGAATTAAAATAAAACCCAATGTTTTATATAATAAGCGGAAGTCGAAGCAATAAAACCGATGGTCGTTTTGTTTACAGTTTCTCTGTTTGACTTTCACGTATGCTGTTACGCTTGTCATCTTAAATTAAGAATGTTTATACATAAACGATTTTCAGTTGCCGTATACGCGAGTAAATTGTTTCGTTATTTTATTGATTATAAAAAATCAATATTCAAAACGACCCAATTCATTTTCCCGAAAATTTGGGAATACAATAATTTTATTCTTAGTATTACACTACATCTATCCCAACTGATATACGTGTCCTTGCAAAAATGTTGATGACGTCATCGCAATTTTTTTTAAATTCCCACTACAAAAATGTAGTGAGAAAAAAACACAATAGCCATGCAGTCGTCAAGTTTCCGACAGCGAGGGAAGTACTGTCTAAACTCTTTAGACCAATTTTTTTTCCAAAAAATCTGGACTATTTCTTCGTACTCTAGGGGTCATGAAAGTTCGAGAAAACGTAAAAGTAGAGAGTCGGTCGACGGATTCGAATGCAATACTTCCTTCGCTTACACTCGGCAAGTAAAAATCTGTACTCCTTGCCTAATAATTTTTTTCTTGCAGCAATATACAAGGCAAAGTTGAGCAAGACTAAAGAAAACAGAACGTGCGAACTCTTGTTTCCAAAAAAAGAGAGTGAAACCGAGCTCGTAAAGACATTTCCACGTATTAATTGTACAGCTGGATTTTTGGGACACAAATGCGATCTTCGCTGTGATGAATTGTTGGGACCAGAGGCAAGTTACTGCGAAAATCACACAATTTGTGGAAGATCTTCATCTAATTCAAGCTGTGTGTGCTCCTGGGGATTTCAGGGGTCGTCATGCGCTGAACGTAAGGAAATAAAAGATTATAGTAAATAAAAAAAAAAATTTCCAAAAATCGTTTTAAAAAGGTCAGTTCAAGTCAATGATGAATGGCATTGAATTGCATAAGAAATAAGACTCTTGCCATAAAATCAAAATATAAGTGAATAACAACAATGTTCTCTTTAATTCAGTTTTTAATCGACAAAATATTTACTTAATGGAAGTTTTAGACTTTTGACTCTATATGTTTCGTTTTAGTGTGAATTTTGCAAAAAATTAGAAAAAAAAGTAAAATAAAAATTACTTTAAAATTGCTCGTCGAGAAATCCAAAGAGTTTTAAACTTTTTTTTAAGTAATTTTAAATATTTCAAATGAAACTTTATAATTTTGGAAATTTTAATCTACCCTATAAATGACGAAACGGACAATAGTACAATGGTAAAAAATATTTAGTACGGCTCACACCAGTTCACCGGAATTTGCAGGAGAAGATTTAGCAGGTACTGTAACCTCATTTGACATACACCTGTTAAAACTTGTATGACTTAAAAGGCTTAAGCCAAACCACCCTTATAAGTCAAACTGGCTATTGTAAGCTTTGTGGACCCGAAACGCAAGATTATTACTGTCCATTGTTGGCATAATGTAGCTGTGAACTGAGTTAAGTAATACAATAGCCAGTTTATTTTTTAACAGGTGTATGTCAAATGAGGTTACAGTAGTTGTACCCATAAAATTATGGTCATTTTCGTTCGTGAGTATAACAATGGTCCCTGTCCGGACCTGGATTATTCTGCTTTCTAGCATCTGGAGAGTACCGGTACCCGACAACTTTAAGTTGTAAATACCTCTTGGTATTTTATTACTGTCCGTCTCCTTATTGCCAATATAATTTTATAGGGTAGAATGACAATCCCAAAACTATACATCAATAGAATAAAGCCAAAAAACCATTGGCAATTTTACTTTATCATATAAATTTTCCAGGCTGAGAAAATGAACAAAGATTATAATATTTTATTGTACAGTGCGATTTCATTTACGTGTAATATATCTTTTCAACTGAAATTTAGGAATATTAACCAATTTCAGCATGTAAGGATGGAATGTGGGGTTTATCGTGTAAAAATAAATGCATCAACTGTGGAATATGTGATAAAAAGACAGGAGAATGTAGCAAGGGTAAGTAATAATTAATAAATGATAAATAAATACCTGAATCGAAAAATAAATAAACAAATAATTAAATATTTGAATGTAAATCTCGCTTTCAAAGCCACTCCAACGTTTATTTGAGTATCCAAAACTGCCAGAAGTTATCATAAAGACATAAAGTTTGGGTACCTAAATTTTATAGTTTCTTGAAGGAATTGTATTTGTTTAATGGATTGTCTTTTAGCGAGGAAAGTTACGTGTAAATAATATCATTATTAAATTCACTGTTTGTAATTACAAAGCTAGTTTGTTGCAGATCACACTACATCTGAAACAACTACCGTAAAAACTACAACTTTATCAGAAGCAAGCAATTCTAATAACTTTACACTACCAGTTGTTCCAAAATCTTCAATGGAAGGTTTGTTTCATAATTCCACTAAAAAAGTAAAGACAATACTGCCGGTTTTAGGCACAATAATATTTTCAAACATACTACCGCCAACATCAAATGACTCAACTAAAGCTTATTTTGTGCTATCTAAAAAGTATTTTATAAACTCAACAGGAGAAATCATTGCGTACGCTTTATTATTATTTGAAGGGGACGTAGACATTAAAAGTACAAATGGATTTTGGGATGGAACTTTCAGAACTTGGCCTTCTTCACCTCAAAATTCCTTACAGCTTACACCCGATTTTTGGAATCCGTTCAAAGGTGCGTAATTAACAACTGACTCTTCAATTAAATTTTAATTTATGGCAGTGTAGATGAACAACACACTTGCAACTTTATAATAGGGGCCAGCAGTAGTTGTTGTAAAGTACATTGCTATAATACACCTTTAAAACCTAATACCAGGTACTGGTTAATGGTAAGAGCTCTGACGAATCAAACATATAATGACAGCACGCTACTATTTTTTCAAACAGGTAATTCTTTTTTTGTCACAAAGTCACAAACATTTAAACCCAAGCACATTTCAAATAATATATATACGTTTTATTCTTGCTTATCCTATAACAATTACAGCTTCTGATGCTAGTTCTGGTTCCACTATTATTTCACTAGCAGTATTAATGAGCCTATTTCCGGTAATGGTTATTCTAATATATGTAATGTATAAAAGAAGACGGAAAAATCAAGCGATTATTGTTCAAGAAGAAGAAGAAAAAGAAGAAGAAGAAATGATTGTAATGTTGGATAAGACTCCTGAAACCACAGTGATCGAAGTCAACACTTTTGAAAACTATTGTTTGCAACCCACGTTTCTTACAACTTTAAAAACCCAGTTCGGTGTGAGTGTTAATTTTTATTATTACTTTGAATTTGTGGTACATTGTTACGTAATTATAAACTTGGTATTATGTGAATACATTTATCCAATTTTGACATTTTAAACGGCAATTGTTGACTTCATAGCAACTGTGACAAGTGATTCTTTAATCACTAGTGAATTAAAAAAGAATTAAATCACTGATTCATAATTATATTTTTATTTATTAATTTATTAATATTATAATCATAATAGTCATAATACATAGGTAGGTAACAATGCTAACAGCTATATCTAATTATCCTCCAAAGTTTTATTTTCACAACCAGAATAAAAATGGCAATTTGTCAAATCACTAAAGTTAATTTGGGTCCCACCATTTAATAGGGAAGATACTTTTTGGGCAGAAATTGTCGTTTTACTGGTGTGATTTTTGTTAGTGGTCGTCCTTGCTTCACCGGAGCATCCACTTTTGTTTTTTATAGGTTTTTGTGTCTGGAATCTGGACAACTAATACAGTTCCTCTATCGTCAATATCCTCTACAGACATGGAAACCAATTCTCCAATTTTACATCCTCCTGCAATTAGTGCAATTCCTATAATAGCCACGACCTAAAACACAATATTGTTAGTAAAATCAAAATTTTTTCAGAACATATCCTGTAGATGCTGTCTTCAGAAATGCAGTTACCTGATGGAACCTATAAATACATAAACATAAACTTTGCAAATCTGTAAATGTGGTCACAAACCTGCTGCAATCAATTTTTTCCCTCAATGACAACATTTTTTTAAGTTGCGAATGGTGAGATCATAATGATGAGGATTTTAGTTTTGTTGATCGTTCGGAGATGTAAGCCAAGATGAGATTTTCGTCCAGCCCCTTTGCTTGCTTTTGATCCCTCCAACGGCTAAATAATATGTTGTATTCTTTTTCGTATAAATCTTTTGATTTCTGGGGAACTAACATCCCCACAGCCTTTTCTACTTCCTGTAGAATAGAATCAGACACAAAACTTCTTTTTTCTCAAAGTTTTACCCGATTACACACAAATTTTCACATAGTAAATTGTTGTTTACAGTTTGCAAGTAAACAATTAGGCACCAGGGCAACGAAACACGCCGACCTCTGCAACCTCGATTTTGCTAGTTTTTTGTGTAAAATTATAATTCTTGATTTATGCGGGCTTAATTTTGTTGAAATTGAATAAAACTTTGTATACACCACGTGAGTTAACGTTTTTATTCACTCGAAGAAATGAGGTCACCCGCACTGCGTGCTCGTGATCTCAACATCTTCTCGTGAATAAAAACGTATTTAACTCACTTGGTGTATAAATAACTATTACAAGCACTCAGAAAGCAAAAAGTTGTATAAATTGAAGAAAATGAACAAGGAAAACAATGAAACTAATTTTTTCATTTGTCAGTCTCTTTCAGACAGTGTGCCCTCCAGTTCTAGCACTGGTTTACAACCGAAGAATATTAACAAGAATAGGGATCGAAGTCGAATTGTTCCTTGTACTATATTTTATAATTTTAATCAAGTTGTTTAAATGACACACTTTTTTCAGACGATTCTAACAGAGTTGTTCTTAATCCAATGGATGGCGTAGGAACTGAAGACTATATAAATGCTAGCTACATTGTTGTAAGTTGTTTGTTGTTCGTAGAACACGATTTATCACTAAAAGTCAAATCAAAATTTTAGGGTTACGATCGTCCAAAAGCTTACATTGCTTGCCAGTCACCAAAATTTTATACTGTTAAAGATTTTTGGAGGATGATATGGCAAGAAGACGTTAGTGTTATAATAATGGCAACAGAATTTTTTGAACGCAAAGAGGTAAATTCCTTAGTAAATAACCTATGAAAATTTCAAAATTTTGTTTTTCGGTATCAGCGAATGTGCGCGGAGTATTGGCCGCAAAGATTGTCAGAGGTATATGAATGTGGTGAAATTTTAGTAAAATTGCTTAAAAAAACTACATTTGAAGTATATATTTACCATGAGCTTCAAGTAATTTATGGTGACAACATCAAAATTATCCATAATTATCATGTCAGGTGGAGTTTGGACAATTTTAATATGCTTTACCCGAATAACATTTTACCTGTAGTAAAGTTAATAAGACAACTGTATGACAAATCACATGGACCAATTGTCTTTCACTCAGGGTTCGTAGTTAATGTATTATTGTAGGTTTGATCTTAACGCATTAACTGATTTCTAGATATGGTACCAATCAAAGTGGAATTTTAATTTTGTGCGATTTAGCATTACAGATGATCAAAACTGACAATAAAGTTGACTTTTTCAGCTTAACTAAGGCACTCCGAGAGCAACGAATGTCTATGATCAGCAGCGTGGTAGTTTTTTTTTAGTATTAAAATTTGAAAACTCATAAATGATAATTTACACACTTGATTTTTATGCATAATCAACTAATTTTTGCTTTAACCGTAGGAACATTACATATTTTCGCACTTGGTTGTGGCTGAATATTTCTTAGAACATAGAAGTCCCTTTCAGTATTCGACTGGACAAAAGACAAGACGTGATGATATAAAAAAAGAGCTTCAGTTTCTAGAAACTCTGCATCGATACGATGCTATTTTTCATGACAGTAATTTTCATTACTGCATACCTCGATGTCCTTTTCAAAACGTAAAAGGTTGGTGCCAAACAACAACACCAAGAGGTTTTCATTTGAATTTTCTGAATATTTTATAGTTCTACGGTATGGACAGAAAAGAAAGTATGTAATTTCCAAAGAACCAAGAAAGGAGCAGCTTTTGGAATACTGGAAAATGGTTGCAAGAGAATCGATTTCTTGTGTTTTATTTATAAATAAGGTAAAAAGTAAGCTAAATTTCATAGGTTTTTCTAAGTAAGCTTATTCTAGAGCTTTGTGCAGAAATTGTATATTAGTTATTTCTTGCTTTTTATAATGTAGTTTTTAATTTAGAAATTTCCGTTGACGACCATGATACGTGGACAAACGGAAGTTGTTAAAATTACCCGCGAACGAATCACAGATACGACATATGGCCTGATAACGGAGGCTTCTTTATTGATATATAACAAAACTTCGAATGAGGTAAAAATATGTACCAACATAAAAATCCAAACACTTAACATGTTTCTTAAATATTGCAGAAGTTCTATGACGACAGATTACATATATTTCAATTTAATGATTGGAAAGTCAATCAGTTCGTACCAAACTCGGTGCACACGTTTATTTCTATGGTTAACTATATTCACAGATTCAAAGCCGAGGATGAATTAGTTTTAGTTTCTTGCAGGTAAATTGTAGATACTTAGTTTTTAGACGAAACAGTATTAATTGGATTTCTCTATTTTTTTTACTATTGTTTCTCTCTTTGTCATTTAATCATATCTTTGTATTTTTTCAGTGATGGATTTACAGCTTGTGGTGTATTTGTTGCTTTCTCGTATATCATAGAAAAATATGAAAAGGAAGTAGAAATTGATGTTTGTAGTGCCTTGCGAACTGCAAGAAGGGGCGAAAAATCGTTCGTCAACAGAGCGGTGAGTAATATGAATTCAAAATTGGAGTAAATGCATTAGTTTTAGTTACTAGATAGGCGAAAGCTTTGAACAATAACTAACGAGTATTGGAGTAATAAGATTTCATTAAAAAAAATAGTTTAGAGGGAATGATTCATGTAAATATAATAATAATCGTAAATAAACAGAAAAGTGTTCCTTCATTTCTAATTCTTTTTATTTCAGAAGCAGTTAACATTTATATATGAATGCATCGAGGATTATATGGCAAATTATGACAAATACGAACAAATTGTAGGAAAAGATATAGATACGAATAAAAATTAACAGTGAATCTTGTTTTAATTTTTTAAATCACAGTAATGTTATAAATATAGGGAGTGTTCAGGTTTTAAGGTATAACACCCACCTTACAAATTTTTTAGCCTTGGAAAAGTTCACAAAAAAGTCACAATAAGCTTATTTCTAAAATCTGTATTATAATAACATTTTGTGGAGAGATGAAAAAAGGTACGCGCGTACAGAGTGTTCATCAAAAAGGTTTCAATTATTACACTTTTCAAATATCGATATTTCAGTTTTTTCAAACAGAACACCCTATATTTAGTTACTGCACCTTATTTTATTTTTTCTTGTCTTCCTTTTTTTGAGTATTTTTTATATTTAAAGTTGACTGTTACTGCAATTTTTTTTTTTTAAGACACATTAACAAATTACAAGAATGAGATACAGTAGTAAAATAGCGGTGTTCCAAAAAACTGAAATATCGATATTTAAAGATTCTAAAATTTTAGTTTTTTTTTTAAACACTGTGTATATTAAAATTGATCTAGTTGTTACTACAACAAAGCGCATACTTTCCAAAAAATATTGTAAAACACTTTAAAAATAATCCTTCCATTGGCAAAAAATTTGAAGAAAATTGAAATAACGTGGCAACTTGCATAGGAATTTCAGAAGTAAACTGTGATTATAAAGCCTAAGAAGAACTCAATCAAACTATGTAAAAAATTGGTCTAAAGAGTTTAGACAGTACTTCCCTCGCTGTCGGAAACTTGACGACTGCATGCCTATTGTGTTTTTTTTTCTCATTACATTTTTGTAGTGGGAATTTAAAAAAAAAATTGTGATGACATCATCAACATTTTTGCAAGGACACGTATATCAGTTGGGATAGATGTAGTGTAATACTAAGAATAAAATTATTGTATTCCTAAATTTTCGGGAAAATGAATTGGATCGTGTTGAATATTGATTTCTTATAATCAATAAAATAACGAAACAATTTACTCACGTATACGGCGCCGGTGTGTAATATCTACAGAGCGGATTTCTGTAGGGCTAGGCAAGGCCAAACTCGGTACGGCTCGTACGGGATGCGAATTCATTGCGGTTGCGGACTGCACTTCGTTTATTTGAGATTAGAATAACGCTGTTTCGTTGCACTCTGCTGTTAATTCCCGTTCTCATTTACTTAGCCGTTTGATTAATAAATCGTTAATTATATTTATGGAATTAGTACCGATTAAATTAAGTGATTATGCATCACCCGCTACTGAGTCCCGGTGATCCAGCGCGTCCCCACCTATAATCGTGACGTAGCCCGACAAAAATCCGCTGTCTAGTAATATGAAAGGCAACTGAAAATCGTTTATGTATAAACATTCTTAATTTAAGATGACAAGCGTAACAGCATACGTGAGAGTCAAACACAGAAACTGTAAACAAAACGACCATCGGTTTTATTGCTTCGACTTCCGCTTATTATATAAAACATTGGGTTTTATTTTAATTCTTGACTGTCAAATTCACAATTAGTTGATTATAAACATGCCTATTCCACATTCGCGGAACCAAGTGAGCGCATAAAACAAATGCAGGTCTGTAATGTTAAAGTCGATGTTAATAAGCGTGCTACCCTTATGTTTCAACCGAGTTTTTCCTTTAACAAATTTTGTGTCTACCAAATTGGGTTGGTTGGGGTGTAATACTAATAATAAGTGTTGCCTTTAATTTAATCAATAAAATAAATTGACTTCATTAATTTTTTTGAGCCACCTCGTAAGAAAATCTAAAAAATATGAATGGAATGATAAATCACAAGTACAAACTCATCATATTTTTTGCATTTTAGATAGGATTTATTCAGCAAAATTTAAGGGTGACGTCATCAATTTTTTTAGGAGGGATGAACAAATACATTTTGAACAAAAGTTTACCATGCTTATAATAACTTTAAAATATTCCCAAGATTTCAAAGCATTCGGTTTTGTAATTCCTGATTAAATCGATAAAATAAATTCACGCCTTCATTAATTTTTTTGAGTCACCCTGCATATGCAAATCCAAAAATATGAATGGAATGATAAATCACAAGTACAGACTCATCATATTTTGTACATTTTAGATACGATTTATTCGGCAAACTTTTGAGCTGACGTTATCAGTTTTTTGTAGAAGATAACCAAATATATTTTGACTAAAAATTTATTATGCTCTTTATAACCTTAAAACTTCTGCAAGATTTCAAAGCATTCGGTTTTGTAGTTCCTGATTAAATCAATAAAATAAATTTACGCATTCATTAATTTTTTTGAGTCACCCTGTATATGCAAATCGAAAAAATTTGAATGGAATGACAAATTACAAGAAGAGACTCACCATATTTTGTACATTTTAGATAGGATTTATTCAGCAAAATTTTGTGGTGACGTCATAAATTTTTTAGGGGGGACGACCAAATACGTTTTGATCAAAAATTTACCATGCTTATGATAATTTTAAAATATCTTCAAGATTTCGAAGCATTCGGTTTTGTAGTTCCTGAGTAAATCAGTAAAATAAATTTACGCTTTCATTTATTTTCTTGAATCACCCCGTATATGCAAATCCAAAATATCTGCACTTACCTGGCAACAATTATTGTAACTTGGTCCAATTTCTAAAATTTGGAGATATATATCCTCAATGACACTCACTCTTCAACAGTTTTTTTCGAATTGGCTTCGCATTTTGCAATTGCAACTGTTTCGTCTCGCCACCCAAACAAGTGATTCCCCCCGCGCCGCTCGTCGTTTCCAACTTCCGCTTTTTGCTATGGCTGGGAGTTTGTTTATATAAACTATGTCTCAACGTGCGATAAAGAAATGACACGGTCAGTGGCGTAACTGAAGCAAATGCATATGTACTTTTTCTCTGCTTCTCTCGATGTATAAACATTAACAGTCGAAGTTAATCATGTATTGACAATATATAAAATGATTAAGAGATATTCTTCCGATCACAAAAAAAAAATTCAACATTTGCTATTTATGGTGCTTATTCACGAACACACAATAACAAATAAATAAATATTATAACATTATTGTTGCGAAAATCGGAAGTGCTGTTCTTGATTTGATGGGCGAAAAAAGTTGGAAGTGCCGGGATCTGTTACCGGAACTTCTAATTGCACTGCACACTCCACCTCCACTAAACCACAGGCCACAGTTGCTTATGTTAAAACTCATCATATTTTGCACATTTTGAGTTAAACTTTTTTGGCAAAAATTGTAGATGACGTCATGAATTTTTTCGGGGGAATAAACAGATATATTTTCATTAACAATTTACCATGCTCACAATCAATTTTAACCATCTGCAAGATTTCAAAATATTCAGTTTAGCAATTCTTGATTTATTCACTAAAATAAAGTGACTGATTCATTTCTTTTTTTGAGCCACCCTGTATAAGCAAGTTAAAAAATTTGAATGCAATGATTAGTTACAAGTGTAGTCAGATCATATACTTTATTCAGTAAAATTGTGAGAAGACGTAATGAATTTTTTTTGGGGTTGATAAAGAGATAAATTTTGATTAAACAGTTACCATGCTTACAATAACTTCAAAACGTCAAGATTTCTAAGTATTCAGTTTTGCAGAATCAATTCACTGCGTCATTAATTTTTTTCAGACACCTTGTATAAGCAAATATCAAAAATTTTACAAGTATAGTCAGATCATATACTTTATTCAGCAAAATTCTGAGAAGACGTAATGAATTTTTTTTGGGGTTGATGAAGAGATACATTTTGATTAAACTGTTACCATGCTTACAATAACTTCAAAACGTCAAGATTTCTAAGTATTCAGTTTTGCAAAATCAATTCACTCCGTCATTAATTTTTTTCCAGACACCCTGTATAAGCAAATATTAAAAATTTTAAAAGTATAGTCAGATCATATACTTTATTCAGCAAAATTGTGAGAAGACGTAATGAATTTTTTTTGGGGTTGATAAAAAGATACATTTTGATTAAACAGTTACCACGCTTACAATAACTTCAAAACGTCAAGATTTCTAAGTATACAGTTTTGCAAAATCAATTCACTCCGTCATTAATTTTTTTCAGACACCCTGTATAAGCAAATATTAAAAATTTTAATGCAGTGATAAATCACAAGTATGGACTCATCATACTTTACACATTGAAGATGGCATTTTTTCAGCAAAATTTTGGGGTGACGTCATAAATTTTTTAGGGGGGACGACCAAATACATTTTGATCAAAAATTTACCATGCTTATGATAATTTTAAAATATCTTCAAGATTTCGAAGCATTCGGTTTTGTAGTTCCTGAGTAAATAAGTAAAATAAATTTACGCTTTCATTTATTTTCTTGAATCACCCTGTATATGCAAATCCAAAAAATATGAATGGAGTGATAAATGACAAGTACAGGCTCATCATATTTTGTACATTTTAGATATGATTTATTCGGCAAACTTTCGAGCTGACGTCATCAAGTTTTTGGAGGGGATAAGCAAATATATTTTGACTAAACATTTATTATGCTCTTTATAACCTTAAAACATCTGCAAGATGTAAGAGCATTCCGTTTTGTAGTTCCTGATTAAATCAATAAAATATATTTGCGCATTCATTAATTTTTTTGAGTCACTCTGTATATGCAAATCCAAAAAATATGAATGGAGTGATAAATGACAAGTACACGCTCATTATATTTTGTACAATTTAGATATGATTTATTCGGCAAACTTTCGAGCTGACGTCATCAAGTTTTTGGAGGGGATAAGCAAATATATTTTGACTAAACATTTATTATGCTCTTTATGACCTTAAAACATCTGCAAGATTTCAGAGCATTCGGTTTTGTAGTTCCTGATTAAATCAATAAAATATATTTACGCATTCATTAATTTTTTTGAGTCACCCTGTATATGCAAATCCAAAAAATATGAATGGAGTGATAGATCACAAGTACAGACTCATCATATTTTGTACATTTTAGATATGATTTATTCCACAAACTTTTGAGCTGACGTCATCAAG